CCGAAATGCCGCTTTCATTTAGACGCAGCGCCGACATGAGAGGCAGACAGAGAGAAATAAGGGCACGTTTTGAGTCGAGTGCTAATGGCTTCAGTTTTTACAGCTCCTCAAAGTGAGCTCCTTTGTGTTGCCAGAAGACGGAGATGTGATTTATTGGCCAGCCCTGAGGAACGCTTGCGGAGCCGAGTAACAGTGACACAGATAATCGGATTTGTTAGTGTGGTCCATTAAATACCGAGCCACCTTCTTCTTCTGCCACGGGCTTCTGCGTAAAGGTGCGCCAACAATTTATGTTGCCTCCAAATAATTACTCTGCAGACTCTGTACGTGTGTGTGTGTGTGTGTACCGGAGACTTATTTCTTGGTCTGATAATTCGATTGCAGATGCACACTGTGTTCAAACAATCCTCCCACGCTCAATATAAATATGTATGGTCTCTGGGCATTGAACAGAGAGATCATTGATTTAATAGTCTGCCAGGGGCCAAACCACCCTGGCAGGGGGCTTTCCTTATAGTCCCTATATGATCGGCAGCTTTTTATTAGTTTAGTCTACAATTGCTATTTATCAGTGAATGATGCTTTATTATTTCAATGTCTATGTGTTTTGTTCCATTTCAAATTCATTTGTTCAAATCATCAAATTCAGATCAACAGCACAACGGGGATTTATGCAATAGTTAAAAAGCTTGTTAGAACTTGATTCGAGTCCCAGCAGATTCACTTGGCATTACTGTTAGGAGTTTGCATGTTCTCCCTGTAGTCGTGTTGGTTTCCTCTGGGTGCTCCGGTTTCTATCACAGTCCAAAAACATGAGGTATAGGTGAATTGACTAAACTAAATTGGCTGTAATATATGAGTGTGTTTGTGAATGAGTATGTATGGGTGTTTCCCAATACTGGAATGCAACTGGAAGGTCATCCACTGTGTAAAACATATGCTGGAATAGTTGGTGTTTCATTCCCCTGTGGTGACCCCTGCTAAATAAGGGACTAAGCCAAAGAAAAATGAATGAATGAAGGAATATGCAATGAAAATGGCTCAAACTCAGAGCAGAATCACTCATGTGTCTTTAAGCAATACAGCTTTATTAAGCAATACGTTCATTCTTGAATGAATCAGTTGATGAATTCTGTTTGTTTAGCGAATAATAGAAAATGTTTTAGACAAGTAGAATATCTGAATTCATAGTATTCATAAAATAGTATGTAAAAATAACGATGATTGAAGGGATAGTTTAACCAAAAATGAGCATTTCCTCATTATTTAGTCACACTTAAGTATTTCTAGACTTTTAAACATTTTAAACTAAATTGAAAATATTCTGAAGTATGTTACATGGAAAAAGTAACCTCTGACATCCATAGTAGAAACAATATATACTACGTAAGTCAATTGTTATGTTACAACATTATTTAGTAAATCTTAAAAACAAAGAAATTCAAGTTGGGAAAACGTGGAGGATGAGTAAATGATGAGAGAATTTCATCTTTGGGTGAACAATCCCTTGAATATTTTTGGTAAGATTCTGAAGTGCACATCTTTCTGATATTTTTCTATCTTATAAGCAATAGAAAAGGATTTGTAAACGGCAGTGGTAAGGACAGCATGGTAGAACAAATACATAGAAAATTCCATTGGTACTACAGATATTCATACTATATACTCTAAAAAAACTATTTAAGGGCAACAAAGTAAGTTTCAACCAAATATCTAAATTGCTTCTAAATGAATCAGTGTTTTTAAAAAAGGTATCCATGTATTCAGTCATTTTGCTATAATTGTTGCATTTATTGTTTTGTATGAATAGTGAACAGATATTTTAGTTATAAGACTGAAACCTCCCAACTGATCAATATTGCAGAAGTGCACTTTTCAAACTAAATATTTAATAAGGGGCTGTTTGCTTGTTGGTATGAAAAGAGAAGTTCACCCAAAAAATGAAAATGATAAAAGCTAAGGTGATAGTGTATTTAACCTAGTAATTATATTAAATTATGTTTTAAAATGTTCATAATCAGATTATACACTGTAAAACGTTATAGTCAAATTTACCAAATGAAATGAGTGTTCACTCAAATCTTACTGGAAGTTAATTCTACTCATTTAAGAGTTTTGAACTCAAGTTCAAAGAGTTTTGTGTATATAGGTTTCCTCAAACGATTTGAGTTGTCAACTTATTGGGTTCTACAGAATTCAGTTGGTTTGGGTTTTCATAATTTATTGGATTTTACTGTGCTTGAATGGTTTCATGTACTCAAATGGATTAAGTTCACAGTATTAACTATTAGGATTAGTTTTTAAACTTAAATGGTTTGTTGCAATTGGTTTCATCAAATAGTTTGAGTTACCTTAACTTATTGGTTTTACATTGCACTGTAAAATCTAAAAAGGTAAGGTAACTCAAACCGTTTGAGGAAACCGATTGCAGCCATTTATGCTAATGGTACTAATTAGTACTGCAAAACCCAATAAGTTAAGGCATCTTAAATCGTTTAAGGAAACCGACTGCAACAAACCAATTGAGTTAAAAAACTATTTTTTTATGAATACTATGAACTTACTCTATTTAAGCTGAAGTAATGATGTATTTAATTAACCCATTACCTTCAACACTGAGATCAAAACTCTTCAAATGAGTAGAATTAACTTTCAGTAAATTTTAAGTTAAATAAACTGATTTAATTTGATAAAGTTGACTGTTGGGTTCATATTTATGTGTATGAATTAATTGAATCTTGTATGCACTTTTTTAAACTTTTAAAAATATCTCCAAAAAATATTAAGAAAAGCACATATACCTACAATGCCTCTAGGGTAAGCATATTTTGGGTGAACAATACTTTTAATTAGCAATATTTACTGAACTTAATATGAAGTGAATGTATTCCTACAGCACTTACTGTGTCCCAATGGACTTAATAAAGTTCATACATTTTTATAAGTGGGGCTTAAATGCACAAATAATTCTCAGTGCCTCCATATGTTGCTGCCTTAGCAGATAATGCATCTTAATGACTGAAATCATACAACTGCACAGATCTGATTATCACATAATCCTTCTTCAGCATTCACACGATTTCAAGCAAATGTCTTCCCTTAAAGAACAAGAGGCATCCAGATGAAGGAAGAGCATTGTTAAACCTAATGCACTGGAACAACTATCCAGAAAAAAACCCAAAAACAACAACAATGATAAAAGCCATGTTCTGTCTTCTGCTGACAGAGATGGCTGTAGAGAATTGGTTAAGCTTTAATAGTGAAATGGAGCAACATTTTGGTGTGTAGACACCCTCATCTCTAGGCTTTGCTTCTATCAGCTCCTTTACTACAGCCTGTCACGCTGTTACCACAAGTCGAGCAGTGAGAAGCTCCTCTTTGAACAACGCATAAAAGCAGGCCAGAGATGGTTTGTTGTTATACCCGTTAGACACGGCAAAAACATCCAGAATATATAGAGCATGCATTGCTGTGCCACTTCTCATAAAAACCAATGTTCATGTCGGTGACATCCTCAGTTCCAATGTGACTGATAGTTCATAAATTGCCACTGATGGGGCATTTACAGGAGAGTCTGAAAGGTTTATTGAAAAGTTATAGACGGGTTAGTGGAAAATGAAGTTTATATTGTGCATTTTACATCAGATGTGCTTATATTTAGAAGGTCTGTCAATTTGTTTGTGGTCTGAAGTTTTGGCCGTCTGTTGCGAGATCAGTGCTGGCATTATACTGACAACTCTTTTGACATTTACAGAAACGCCAATGTTGTTAACTGGCAGAAGGCAAGATTACAGCAAGATGCTCTTGGTGAAAATTCAGCTAATGCAAGGTTGAGAGGTCTTGCTATTTTCTCGTCCTTTGTTTCATAAAATCAGTAGGAAAGAAACATTTCACGCACGCAACAACCAGTCTTTGACATTAGGAGAATTAATATACACTCCTGACAGACACCAGCTAATGTCATGATTTAATTTAGAGTGTGCTCGTGCAATTCCACTGAGACGCAGAGAACAGAGACCCAAATACCAAAATATCAGCTGAGATAAAAGGAGAAAACAGACCCAATTCCAGAAGCATCCCTCTGAGGGTTAAGTGTGCAGCCTCTCAATTTGGATCTCAAAAAGGCTTGTCCCGCCGGGAACAAAATTAAGCGCGTGCGCAAGTACGCATGTGTGATTTTCGCTAATGAACTTGTATTGTTTCAGTCGCCACCTTGGATAAAGTTATGCACTGAATGTCGTGCCTTTGAAAGAAGGAAAATAATCCGTGGCTCTATGCCGTGCTGACATTGTTTTCCATTAATTTGTTTACGTTCTACTTATCATAATGAAAGATAAATTAACAGCACTTGTCCGGGAATATCAATAAGCTATGAAACATTGTCAGGAAATACACGTGTCAAAAATTTGCAATGACGGACGGGGCGGAGTCACATGTGATGGAGAAGGCGTTAATTGTCACATCAATGTCAGTTAAATGACTACAATCATTTAGCTCCAAGGGTTGCACGCTAATGTCACATTAACATGGAGTAAAGCCTCACTGCGCTGATCATTAATTAGTCTGGCCTGTCTCGGAGGGGAGGGAGCTGCACCATCCAGCATTGGGATCCTGCCTGTATAGTTTAGCTCTAATGAGCCTTTAATGTGCAGGACTGAAGAAATGGACTATATCTCAAATCCCGAGCTATTGTGTCTGCAATAACCTTTGAATTACATGGTGCACACAGCCGCCACAACAACACACTTCTCGCTAAAGCCTGTGGTTTACTGCAGTGCAATATGGGTAAAATTATAGAGGGCTTTCAAAACATTTTTTTATATGCAGCAAGGTTGAATCGCAATGTTGTATTTGCACACTTACAGTATAGTTCAGCAGTTTTAAGCACATAACCTTTATATGGAGACTTGGGTCATGTGCCTGTCAAGGAGAATGACCATCAAAGGCTGCAAATCCCCTCTGAGGCAACTGGGGTTAGAAATCAGCACCATCAACTGGTAAAAAGTGGAAAAGCAGGATGTCATGGTTTATTTAATATGCAAATAGAAAACCCAGTGATGTAATGCATAAATTAAAAGATGCTTTTTCAGGACTTTATGGTAATAGGCAGTGCTTTTTTAGCTCACAAAACAGACAATTAGTTAAACGAAAAATAAAATAAATGGCAAAGTAAGCTAAAATGCTACATACTGTAACAAACATTGACTCATCACATTTAACAGAAACATATTTTAACAGTACTGACTGGATAGGATCACTGACCGGCGTTGAGTGGACTGTCTTGAACCTCCTCAAGTACAATTATTCCTCTGCGGTCTTCATGAACGTGTCTGTTTCATGAAGTACAAGACATGTGTAGAACAGCGGAGAGAATTAATTAATACATTTTATACTATTAATTAGTCTTGATTTTAATTAATACCATCTTACATGAGACATCTGGATGATCCACTTGGACATCATGCCAAAATAACTGAAAGAGGAATAAATCAGCACACACTATCTAATGCTTTAGAAAGTAAACTGTTTAAAGGGTAATTGTATATTGACTAAGTCCTTTATGATATTTCCAAACAGCTCACAAATATAGATCGAGGGGTTTTCTAATCAATGTATTCACAAATATACTGTTCTGTGGTTTTCTTATGAAAGTATACACGTCTCTCCACTGCATCAATCACAGTACCTGAGGACAGAAGCCCCAAACTCATCCGGTCCAATTAACTTTAACCTAATCATTAGGCTAATCTGAGGGACATTTGTTTAGGTGGGTTAGGTATTCCTTGTTCTATTCTCCAATCACTGTAAGGGGGAAAACTAAACAGAATAGAAAGGAAAGCAAAGAAATGAAAAAAAGGAAATTAAATGCTAGAGCACACATACATAAGCATTTGGAGCGCATATCATCTATCATTCTAATACTGTAAACAACATATTATACAATATTGATAACACTACCTACAACAATACAATTTGCTCAACAGCTCTCGAAGGGATGTGGAGGGTCATTTATCTGCCTGTTTTTCCCAGAAGTCTTCTGCCATATTTATATACATGTTCATTCAAACTGTTGGTGGAAAAAGTTCCAAAATAGACCATTTTTTTCATCCGTCCATACTTTGAATTCACATGCTTGTACATATGGTTGTCAGTCTTTGGAGAAATACAGTAGACACACAAACACGGACAGGAACAGAGATGTATAAAAATATGTAAAAGCTTACAAAATGTATTCTCACTCATCACCCGAGCCAGTCAATGTTCAATTTGTGGAAATGCTGCAGTTTTCCAGCGCACTACTGATATGTTTAAATGTCAGCTCTTTGTGTTTTCTGAGATATTCACTCACAAAAAGATACCACCACCAACCAGGCTTCAGTGTGATAAATTGAAAAAAAAAGAAATATTTATATATATATATTTTTTAAAATATACAAATGGAATATCCTCTTCTTCGGAAAAAAAAGAAAAGAAAATATAGACATCTCGATTGAAACATTTCTCATAATCCAATGTTCTCACATCCTCAGCAGTTTCACAACCATCTCCGTTTTCCTTCTTTCCTGATGATGAACCCTCATGACAGTTGCCATGGAAACAAGACCAGATGAATGGCTTGTCTTTTCATGGTGAGATGTGAGTTTGTCTGAGTGCAGTAGAGTCAGGACAACCCCTCCACCCCACCACCACCACCACCACACCACCTTACCCAGAAGGCATATGGGTGAGCTACGCTTTTGTCTGAAAAATACATAAATAACTACAAGCACACTATACGATGTTCTTGGTAGCATTTTCATTTAACCTTTCCATGTAATTTCGGAGCTCTTTGGAGTCCCCAAGCTCAATGTCTGGGCATACCCATTTGATGTCGCTCTGACCAATGAGAAGAGGGCTTATGGATGGGCAGCCATTGCTGGGCTTGCTATGGCTGAATGTGGTGAACTTGACCCGTTTTCGTTTGGTAGTGGGAGAGTTTATGGACTCTGCCTTGTGATCTCTCCCAACACACCCTGAGTCCGAAGCTGATCTATGGACCTGACCCTGCACACTCTTCTGGGAGGAAAGGCCATTAAGGAGCTGGCTACCTTCCTCCAGGCCCAGCCCGGAGTCCATGGTACCACCTAGCTCCTCTTGATCCAGACATAAACCAGCTTGGCTTTCCAACAATTCAGCATCGTGGCCTAACCAAACCCAGTCGTGGGCGTGAGCCATGGTCTCCTGGCCCTCCAATGGGAGCTGCTTGTTGCGATACTTGAGAGCGTAGGAGACGCAATTGATTAGAAACACCAGGATGGCCAGGCAGAAGACACCTAGCAGGGCGTACATACCTATTTCCAGGTCTGTGAGTCCACGGCGAGAATGCAGCAGGTCATCCTCCATGTTACGTCCAGGAGGAAGATCAGCTTGTGCTGGAAATTCAGAGAAATCCATAGGAACATCGCCGGCTGAGAGCCTGTCACCACTCGCTTTTCCTGGAATGGAGGATTTGATGGTGGTAGCACCTCGATTCATGATTCCAGCCTCCATGTCTGAGATTGAACCTCCATAGTATGGAGCATTAGGTCTATATCTCCTGTCGCTTGCGCTGTTTCCTGTTTCTTCATCTCGACCAAACTTCACAAGGACGTTTGCATTGCCGGCAGCCAGAACAGTGCGGCGCTTGGTTTTAAGACATAATTCAGGTCCATACATCTCCAGGCGGACCAACATTCCTTGCCCTTCCCCCTTTGCCACCACCACTGGCCATCTCCAGGAGGTGCTTTTCTTCACTGACACCACCTGGTCGTCCAGCGAGGTGGCCGTAAGAATGAAATGTGCAGGGTTATAGAGGTCCAGAGGGGTCATGGAGCCATCACTGAACTGAAGCCACGCACTGACAAGAGACTCCTAAAGAAAAAGAAACACAAGATGAACGAATGCTGTTGGGAAAAGCTAGCTTTCTTTCCTTTTATAAAGCTTGCACAATTCTTAACCTGAATGCAGGATGGTTTAAATGGTTAAATATCCCTAAAACCAATTTTCAAAAAGAACAGACGCATCAATCAGCGGGAGATTCAACCAATCTGCCCGTTTTATGTCTGAATGTGGAGAGGAGAGTAAACCCCTGCCGGTGCAATGGTTTTGTGAAATCAGACTAATCAGAAAGAAGCTTTAAATGTGAGATGACTCAGAATAAGTGGGCAGCCCCAAGCAGCAGGATCCACTAACAAACCACAGCTCCTCATTAACATGCTGCACATGTCAAAAGGACTTTGTCCATAATGACAGTGATTACAGTGATTGCACCTGCTCTTAGATAAAACAATCCAGAGATTCCGAGAAACTGGCATGGAAGTATGCAGCATGCAATGTCATGACCAGAAAACCAGAATACAATTTTAAATTTGATGCCATAGTGTTAAAAAATGCACAGACTATTTAGAACACTGTGGTTGGTGATCTTTTTTTTTTTGTGATACCAGTGCAAAATATGTCATTTTAAAATGTTTTTATATTTAAAAAAATATATACCAGACATACTTACACATCTTTTTTTTTTAGAAAAAATCTTTAAACTGAACATTAAGTTTAAATTAACAAGTTTATAGTATACATAAATATGAACTGAAATTTCAGTAATTATGAATATGACCATATTGGTCTTCTCATCTAAAAAAAAAAGACAACTCCAGACTTATCTTACACAATACATATATACAGGAGTGTAACTTTAAACGCCAAGGGGGACATACATGTCCCTCCCATGTTTCCAGCTTTTTTGGATTTTTTATGTGCACTGTCATTTCCACAGATGAGTGTCTCTGTTTGTCAACGCATGCATCCGCATCAAATAACTTTGTGTGCACGCTCTTAAAATAACTCTGTGAAAGTTCTAATGAGCAGATATTGCAGTTGAAACAACCGTTTCAGTCAAAGATAGAACTCCTTACAGCAATAGAAGATGACTTTAATGTCAACAAGGATGAAAAAGGAAGATGTGAGTTGATTGATTGAGTTTATAAGCAGTATTTAATCATATTTAATGTCAGACAGCATATGCCTACATCTCTTGATGTTTGTATAATGTTTAGAAAATTAGCACCAGGGATGTAATTATTTTATTTTTATTTTACAAGTAATAAAATAATGATCAACATTTTCATATAACTTTTATTTAATTTAGTTTTGCTGATGTCCATCTGTAATTAATTACAAAATTGTGATTCAGCGCACACTGTTCATAAATTTATTAGAAGTTTACATTTTTAGGTTAGTTTGTAATCTAAATTTTCATTTTAATTTTAGGTTGGAAATTAAATGCATTTAATCAGCCTATTTCCCCCTGGATTTTGTGTCAGCACAGTCCCTAAATATATGTAAATGAAGAAAATGGGATTTAAATTAGAAACATTTTACTCAATTTTGTGACCTCCCCACATTACAAGCCAAAGTTACATCCTTGCATGTATAGGTTATATAGTGGTACATATATAAAATAGACAATATACCTATTGAATTAGATTTTGGTGGATTTCAGTGCCCAGACCTACAGAATACCATAGACACAAGTATGTTTGTTTGTATGTATGTATGTGTGTATGTATGGATGGATGGATGGATGGATGGATGGATGGATGGATGGATGGATTAACTGATTGATTGTTATCAGTCTTACTGGAATACCTGATTAACACTGTGCATGGTCTCCTGTGTGGTAGCTGTGGCAACGATGGCCCTGTTGCTTCCCGTGCTGAGCTGAAGGTTCAAGGAAAGTCCAGAGACCAGCTGCACACCTAGCTCTGTAATACTGACTTTATCATCCAGAACGCGGATCACCCTCTCAGCCAGAACTGAGTCTGATAATGGGGACATCACCTGGATAAAAAATACACACAGATATGCCTCTGTTACATAACACTGAAACAACAGTATATTTTCTCCTAGTTTCTCATAATGACACATAAAAAAACTGAAGGCTGTGTGCAATTTCAAAAATCTTAGTGACAGCTGTCCGCCCTCGGCCATATGGCAATATCTGACACACGAGCATGAAGATGACTTCGATATCAAACGTGACGTGAAGACTTCCTATCTGGATCAATTAATTGCAAAGCAGCCACCTCCATATTTCCGCATTCATTATGTTATAATGAAGTGTCAGAAGCTATTTACTTCTTATCTGTAAGTAGGACTTCCACTGTCACCAATGCGCACGGCCTGTACTTGCTTCTAACTACCATTTGTACACTAGTCCTCAGGCGACAGATTTGCACTCGAAGATGCAGCCATGTTAAGGTAAAGAAACAATCCTTACGATGTTTTTATATTCTGAGCGCATTCTAATTTGCCATTTGATTTGAGAGATTTATTAATTAGACATAAAAAAAGAATAAGCAAGGGGAGCCTCGGGCCTTACTCAACATTGCGTAAGATGCTGCCCCAGTGCTCCACTTATTTTATAGATCTGTTTCTAACAGTTACTGCATGCCATGCTACTTTAACAAATCTTTCCTTCCAAACGAAACCTGCTCTTGAACATTTTTGAAAGCATACGTATATCCCCCCTTTCTAATTGCAAATAATTAGTAAATCAATTTAGTTTTAATGAACTGCAAAACAGGTGCGTCCCTCTGGAAATTGAATAGTACATTTGGCCTGACAGCAAGGTGGACGATTGGCAATTTGGCCATGGTTAAGTGCTGTTTTTTTTATTTCAGGCATCTCGATATATAAAGCAGCACTGCTTTTCAGACTCCACGTATTCCATCCCACCATTACTGGGCTTTTTATCTGATTTTAATTTCAGCAAATGGATCAAATCGAAGCGTTCTCCACCTGTGGCTCTGGCGTCTATCTTTCTCTGCCAGACAGCACTCTAATGGCACTTTCAGCTCGTCAAGGGGGAGTATTTATGTGTGAAAGTACATGTGACAGATCTATAAGGAAAAAATGTGTAGTCTTCACAGACCAACACGTAATTAGTCGGTCTTAATAAAGAAGATTATGGTTTGTGGTAAGAGCTGTGAGAGATGTGCAGACAGACAGCATGCAAGCTGTGACAGAGCTAAGTGCTGTCTAGCTCTCGTCTGACAGCGTACACGTGTCACATCACAACTCGAGCTGATTCACCTCTCATCCGCATGGAGAGATTGACAAATGACAGCTCGGCTTTTCCAATAAAAACAAGGACGTCCTCACTTTTTATTCATGCGGTAGAAACACAAGGGAACTGCGGCTTAGTCAGCTGTAACTGTCAGTTTTCTTTCTCCAAAATGTGCAGCTCTGGCTGTGGTGTGGAGAGGAAATTGCATAATACGTTATAACAAATGAATCATGAATCTAGCTGTAATAACGCTGAAAATTCATGGACTGCTGATATCCTATCGATTGTGATATACCAGTAAAATGTTTACTATGATAAGAATCGCTTGTCTTCCAGCAAAAAAATAAAGAAATAAATGGAATTACGGCATCTGGAATCTGCCTCTACAATCTGGAAGTGGTTTGGTCTGGGCGGTATAGTGAAGCAAAAACTGGCCTGTGCAATGAATAAAGATACATTGTAACAGAGGAGTGTTTGAGATAATTTTGTGTTCATGTTTTGGTTATCAGACATGGTGATATTTCACGAAATTTGAGAAAAAAATATGATCTGATATGAGTGGCTGTTATGATCACCTGCGATCTAGCGGCTGCAGATGGATAAAGGACAACCAATCTGCCATTTTATGGCCTACAAGATCCAGTCATACACTACCACACACAACCAGTTCCTGATCCTAACTGATTAGACTAACAGCACAAACACACACATTGTTGCTAAGTATTATTATAGGCGTGTTAGAAACGTGGTTCCCTTGCCTAGTCTTGTCATGTACTGAGCTTTGCTTTGTTATGTTTATTCATGTCTGCTGCTTGACCATCCATTTGCTTATTGACCAAGATTATGGATCGCCTGTATACATCTGATTACTACTGTGTTGACTGTTGCTTGCCTGACCATTCTGCTAAATAAACCTGCATTTGGATCCGCACCCCTGTTGTCAAGCGTCACTGTCACATTACAATGGCTATAAGAACACAGATAAATCAAATATACACTCAATTGTGTGCTCGTTTACTTAATGTTTGATCAGCTTACTCAAAATCATACTATTTTATCATATTCTATCCTGTGATGAATGCTATGTCGATTAGCATTTCATTATAAATATACTTAATTCTTATAAAAACACTCAGGATGGCTATAAGAACACAGATAAAACAAATGTTCTTACAACTGTGTGATTGTTTTAATCAGCTTAGCCAAAATCATACTATTTTATTGTATTCTAGCCAGTGATGAATGCTATGTCGATTAGCATAGCATTATAAATATAAATTCATATTTATAAAAATATTCACAGTGACTATATGATCACATATAAACTAAATATTGTCACAACTGTGTGTTTATTGTCTTCATGTTTGATCAGCTTACTTGAAATCAAGCTATTTTATTGTAATCTATCCAGTGATAAATTCTATGTTGATTAGCATAGCATTATAAATATAGATTCATATTTATAAAAATATTCACGGTGACTATATGATCACATATAAACTAAATCTAGCTACAATTGTGGGTTTATTGTCTTCATGTTTAATCAGCTTACCCATGTTTAACTTCTGCTTACTCAAACACAGCAATGACATGATGTCTTTATCCACTTGTTAGGTCTGATGTAATGCGAAGCAGCTCCAGATCCAAGTGTTCTATCAAACTGAATGAGGAGGCTCAACAAATGGTAATAATAAACGTTTACAAAGTGCTGTAATACTTTCGACAATCATGATCGCAATATATATATATATAACCATGCCTAATATCAGATTAACAAGCGAATTGTCCTTTGTACTTGGAGATTGTGTGCAAGGCGCCCTCTAGCTTCCAGTATGAATGAAATTATATTACATCGTGTGTTCTCACATCACCCTGTTCTTGTTTAGAAAATACTTCTCGTTAAAGATGCATGATGATTTAAAATATTTTAATTGTAACAGACACCAGAAAATATTGTGACAGTTTTAAATCCACATTGCCAATCCCTAACTGCTATATTATTGTGGTAGTGCATGTTATTTAATCAGCATTACATGTGTTTATGGTACATGATGACACACTTTAAATACTAGATTAGAACTTCCTGTTTCTTACCTGAACTTTGGTGGTGCCAGTGTTCAAGCCGATCAGGACCTGCTCTTCTGACAGCTTGGCCACACGTTCATCCGCCACCCTTAAAGAGTCTCTCACCAGCTCTGTTACATCCACCTGCCAGTCACTGCCCAGGAGGAAGTCTGGCTGGCCCTGCCACTCTTCTGGCTCGGCCTCAAAGTGTGTGAGGACACGGACGGTGGTGCTCTGGTACTGTGGAGCACAGCTTCGGTCCTTCCTGGCTCCTTCTTCCCCATCATCCTCTCCAGACCTGCAGCACAGAGAGCATTCGATACTGAGCGTAAAATCTACTTTTTTATTAAGTTAAAGTAATTAATTAACAAAAGCACTTTCAAACACTTTGAAGTTATTTTCAGAGGTATAAAAGAAAAATAATCGTATTAAAAATAAAAACAGAGGAGTAAACAGTATTCTAATCTATGCTATTTACAACATGCTATTTAAAGACCAATGTGTAAAATAAATAGAGTTATTGTCTAACAACAAAAAAGAACAATTCAGATGGGTCTGAATTGAGTTGTCATTAACAGCAGCACAAACCTACATAGGTTCGTAACAAATTTGCTTAAAACCAGTTAGACATTGGCCAGTATAATATTCTGACAGTATGATAAACTTGGATAAAAATATCACAGCTTCACGGTATAGTGATTATTGCTCTAAAAATAAGTTATTTTTTAAATGTCTGAATAAAAAAAACAAAAATTCCCCCCTTTATACTTAATATATTTTATTTTGATAAATATTTAAAATATTTTGGAGCAGGAGCTAAACATGTCAGGCTAAATAATTCAAATGAATCATTGACTTCTGCTGTCGTCATTCGTTTCAAACACACATATTTCTTTACAATTTAAAACAGCATCTTTGGATATCTTTTCAGCTGGATATACTGTTGTCCTAAAAAAACAAACAAACAAACAAACAAACAAAAAAGTAAAAGAAAATCTTACATATATCATAGGAATAGTAAAACAGAAAATTTGGGCAGTTTTAAAATCTTAACTTTTCCAAACTGTGGTATATCTTGAAAACGGTTATTGTCCCATGCCTTCCAGTCCTAAGGTTTTCACTGATTGGCCCCAAACAACTTTGAACAGGCTTGAATATGTGCCGGTTGAGAAGCCACTGTGAAAGCAAATCTTTTATTTCAAAGAATTATAAATGTATATATATATATATATATATATATATATATATATATATATATATATATATATATATATATATATATATATATATATATATATATATATTTATATTTTTATATATATGTTGTTTTTAAGTTTTTCTTAAAACAGTTAAGTAGATATTAGACTCCTTCAAATTTTAAGTATTTATACATAAAAATAAAAATAAACATGATGCAAAAAAAAGAAATCTTAACATTTCAAGGTTTAAAAAAGTTCAAATCAACCAAATAAAGGTAAAACAAATAAAGAACCAAAACTTTTAAGCAAAACTATTATTTTAAATATGGCTAAAACAAAGATGTGCATTATATTCTTATATACTTGTGTATGTGTGTACAAAGTTGAAGTCAGAATTATTAGCCCCCAATTATTTTTTTCCCCAATTTATGTTTAAAAGAGAGATGAGTTTTTCAACACATTTCTAAACATAACAGTTTTAATAACTTCTCTCTAATAACTGATTTCTTTTATCTTTGCCATGATGACAGTAAATAATATTTGACTAGATATTTTTCAATATGACTAGATATTTTTCATACTAGTATTCAGCTTAAAGGGTTATTAAAATGCTAAAAACTAGGTTAATTAGGTTAACCAGGCAGGTTAGTGTAATTAGGCAAGTTATTGTATAATGATGGTTTGTTTTGTAGACTATAAAAATAGCTTAAAGGGGCTAATAATTTTGACCTTAAAATGTTTTTTTTTTCTTTTCTTTTTTTTTTACTTAAAATCTGCCAGAAGAAAATATTATCAGACTGTGCAAAGGGAAAATTTCCTTGCTCTGTTAAACATCATTTAGGAAAAATGTTTTAAAAGAAAAAAAAAATTAAAAGGGGGCTAATAATTCTGACTTCAACTGTATGTGAGTGAGAGAGAGAGAGAGAGACAGAGCAGCAGTGGTGTTCAGTCTCATATTAAGGTTGAGTGGCTTCAACAGGCTATAAATGTGAGCCCTATTCACATTACAGTGATAATGCACTTCCTCTGCTCGCACAAACAGTCCAGCACCAGGTGAACAGGCCGGCAGCTCAGGCTATTCCATTATTTTTAATGAGTCAAAGCCATCGAAAATAAAAAACAACAGAGGTGGCAGGTTAACATGGTGTCTTTGAGCGGTGCGAAGGCCACGCTCCTCCAGACTTTTACGCAGCGACGCCTGACCAGCGCGGCAGAAACAGCATGACATTTACAGAACACAGGTGTATAAACAGGGCAGGCGGCGCTCAGATGAGGAATGTCAGGTCACTGCGGGTCTCAGGAGTAATGAGCTCCAGTCTTAAAACACCAGCGCATGTCTCCCGCTCTCTCACAGGTAATCAAAACACTTCCGCAGACAGACTTGACCTCGCACTAACAGAACATATGATACAGCAAGGGCACAGAATTAAGACTAAAGAGACAAATATGAACACCAGCTGACCACTGTCTTAAAGGGACAGCTCACCCGTAGATGAAAATGTATTTCCTTGTGTCTTTCTAAAACAGCACAACTTCTACTAAGCAGCATGAAAGTGCTTTTACACTAGGGTTTATAGCCTGGTCAGAACTGGAGCTTCTATAAAAATGTAAAAATTATATGATCAAAAGTGATGACAACTATTTTAATTTATGCACATTTTAACTATGCTTTAGGTGTCTGTTTTTTTAATAATGATTTTGTAGTGGCTTTTCACCTTTTATTGGGATAGGATAGTGGAGGACAGACAGGAAAGCATTGGGAGCAGAGAGGGGGGAGGGAACGGCACGGAGCCTTGAGCTGGGAATCAAACTCAGGTCACCGTGAGTGCCATATGTCAGTGCACTTAGACCCAATCCCAATAATGTTTTTTACCGCTACCCCTTATTAACATTGGTTATGAATGTATTAAAACATGTTATTATCCATGCTTGTTTATTATAAAATTTCATAATAATGATGCTAAAGAGAATTGGGACACCCCCTTCACACGAACGCACAAAACAAGGGGCAACGAGAAGGGCTAAGGTGTAGAATAGGGATTGTGATTTAACCACTAGGCTATTGGAGCTGACTGTTTTAGGTCTGTTTAATCAATGTATGTTGCAGTGACTTGTAAACTTGAGTTTATTCAAGTTAAAAATTTAAGGCAGCTTTTTTTTAATTGTACAAAGTTCTTTAAAGATCACTGTGTAAATTAAATGGATAAATGGATAAAAACAGCCCTAAGGTTTTCACTTATTGGCTCCAAAGAACTTGACCAGGCTTGAAAGTGTGTTTCACAGCATGTTGAGAAGACACTATGAAAGCAAATAATTTATTAATTTATTAATATTTCAATAAGGATCTTATTATCTAAAAAATTAAAACAACATCATAATGGATTACTGGTCATTTTAATGCAATAATGATTTAATGTAATGATGAAGTTGATTAATAGATATTATATATACAGTAGATCCATCAGAAATCACTCTCATATTATTAATAATAATAATAATAATAATAATAATTATTATTATTATTATTATTAATAATAATAATGGTAATAGTAATAAAAGCAATAATGACTGGACTAATAATTTCATTTGAAAATACATACAATAAGTAATAAATAAATATTGGACAGATAAGTATTTAAATATTTTTCTTTTTTTACGTTTAATTAATGCCGTCTTTATGAACAATCATTTTCTTTAAAAAATAAACATGAAAAAAACAACTTCAAACTTTTGACCAGTAGTGTACATATTTTCATATATACAGTTGTAGTCAGAATTATTAACCCCTCTGAATTATTACCCACCCCCCTCCACATTTCTGTTTAACGAAGAAATTTATTAAACACATTTCTAAACATAATAGTTTTCTCATTTCTTTTAACTGATTTATTTTATGTTTGATATGTTGACAGTAAATAATATTTGACTAGATATTTTTTAAGACACTTCTATACAGCTTAAGGTGACATTTAAAGGCTTAACTAGGTTAATTAGGTTAACTACGCAGTTTAGGGTAATTAGACAAGTTATTGTATCATGATGGTTTGTTCTGTAGACTATAGAAAAAAATGCTTAAAAGGGCATTTAGTAGATCACATAATTCAGCCTTCACATAATTTAGTATTTTTTCCCCTTATCCTAAATTTGTCTTCAATTTGACCTTTTGTTTGTGTCATTTTTGTAAAAATCTCTTTGTTTGTTTTCTGCACTGCAAAAAAAAAAAAAAAAAAAAAAAAAAAAAACAATAAAAAATGAGAAACAGTCCTCATTCAGGTGAGGAGCTGTAATTGCATGTCTATTGCATGATCATTTTTCAGCACAAGACAAAGCTGCCTGTTGTCCGCAGAATGAACTTGCCTTAAAGCATTTTTCTACAATGCAAGAAAAATGCTAAATAATTCAATATATACATATTCTAATGAAAAATAATATAAAATACAGTTTTACGGCCAGTTAGAAATATGCATGACTTTCTCAAGTTAATCCAAAAGTGAATTAGTTTTACAAAGCAAGCTCATTTCCAAGCAATCTAGTACAATAGGAGCTTTAAAAAAATCTTGGTACTGATTTTTTTTGCGCAAACCACATATTTTATTCCTGTCAACCACACACTACAGATGACAGGCATATCCATTTTTTGAGTCTCATCAGTGCCTTGCAATTTTTCTACCGTTCATTCCATCTGTCTTCCGTCTTCCGGTTCTCGCTTATCATGCATGAGTCAATCCAGCAGGATTGTTTCTGGTGGAAGAGTAATTAAAAATTATCTCGTGGATATCCGCACGGTATGCCAGCATTAACCTGTGTGTTGTCTGGTGCTGGTGCGTCAGAAGCAGGTGTGCCTGAAGACGACCCAGTGGTAATTAAAAAGTCAGCGTCCGCATCCTCCCTCACCACCATCATGCTTTCCGGAGGGAGATCCGTACATGTCTGGTGTTACCAAGAAACAACCGAGCGTAAAAGCGGCTGTTTATTAAGACAGGCCAGGTGAGCTGGAGCATTACTGTGCAGTACTGAGAGACTTACTTCAGTAATGTAAGAAATCATTGTGTTTTCAAATCACCAGTCGCATTGCATAACGTGTGGGCTGTGCAGGATATTTTTTGCTCAGATAAATATTAGAAATCTTATCTGAGTATAGTCAGAAGATTCTTATCTTCTAAATTCTAATTTACCAAAGTTACACATTTATAGAAACTTTATAATAGACAAAAGATTTTAGAAGGTTTTTCACCTCAAAAGAAAAATAATACTTTTAACATCTCTAACAGGTTCTTGAAAACCTTTGGTTATTTCTTAATTTTTAACAGTGTAAAGGGTAATATATTACTTTTTAATTTTTTTGTCTACTCAAATATGGTGGCACGGTGGTGCAGTGGGTAGCACTGTCATCTCACAGTAAGAAGATCGCTGGTTCAAACCTCGGCTGGGTCATTTGAAATTTCTGTTTGCATGTTCTCCCTGTGTTCGCGTGGGTTTCCTCCGGGTGCTCCGGTTTCCTCCACAAGTGCAAAGATTTGCACTATAGGTAAATTGAGTAAGCAAAATTGTCAATAGTCTATGTGTGTGAATGAGAGTGTATGAGTGTTTTCCTGTACTGGGTTGCAGCTGGAAAGGCATCCGCTGCATAAAACATATGCTGGATATGTTGGTGGTTCATTCCGCTGAGGCGACCCCAGATTAATAAAGGGACTAAGCCAAAAATAAAATAAATGAATAGATGAATGTCTACCAAACTTCCAATTTTAATGTTTTACGCTATTTTTAAGCTTCACTCACACCAAAAATGATAACTATATAGATAACTCTAGTGATAACTATATTAGTGTCACACCAGCAATTTTGTATATTTTAACCATTTGCTGCTTTAAAATCGGAGTAGGATTTAATCTTTATGGACCCTTTTCACAACCCTGTTTGGACGCGTTTAACGGTCCTTAACATCTTAAAATCTTACAATTTAAAATTTTTAGTTTTGAAAAATTGCATGAACATTTATATGAATGTATTATATCATTTTTGCTTCAAATTACAAAAAAAAAGAATGACCACTTGTGCAAGGCATTTGTAATGCATCTATGGAACAGGACAGTAAATTTGATGGAATTCTCTTCTCTAGCTGCCGTCATCAGTCTCACACATTTTTTTTCCTTTTTCTTAAAGTCTTTATAACATCAACATTTTAAAAAATTATTTGTTGTACTCTCCCATTAACTGCACTCTAAGTTTACGCAACTACGATGACTTCCACTTCTAAGAAATCCGGAATGTGAAAATGGTTGTCCATGGTTATCAATATTTATGCAGCTTTTGATGTCATTTCGATAAATCGTGTAGTCCTAGTATGTAAAGCTTATTGAATAAGCATGGGTGCTTAAAATAAAGATAAAAGTATCTAAAGTATCAAATTCTATTAAAATAAAAATCAATCCTAGTAAGTTTTTAGATGAAATGTTACAATGGCTAAAAAGATAGTTAATCCAAAACGGAAAAGTCATCATTTACTCATCCTTTACTTGTTCCAAACCTGTTTGAGTTTTTTTTTTTCTGTTCTGTAAACACAAAAGAAGATATACTGAAGAATGTTAAGGATTAAACACCTATCTTTTTAGTAAAGCATACACACAATGCATCGCATAACAGTTTGATGCATGAGTATGCTCCACGCAGGTGACCAGGATTGACAACCACCTGTAGGACACACTCCTGTCTTAATGCACCATACATTTTGTTAGAAACACTCATATGCTTTACATGTTTGTTTCCACGTCTGTTTATATAACTACTGTTTTCATTTATACAGTAGCACTTCATTTTTGCATCTTTTAAATACACTATGAACAGCTGCTATGCTAATTATTTTCTTTATTCCCTAGGGTGTAAATAGAGGCCACCAGAGATTATGAGGCCAAATTATGCAGCAACATTGATGCGATTCAAGACCTGTGAAGAAATGATGCCAAGGTATCCATAATCTTGGACCAGGCCGTATTCTGAGCTGATGTGACATACTCACACCTGCAGTTTTCCATGATGGATGTCCAGCGTTTCCAACTCTGAACTTTTAGAAGAGAAAATTAAATCACACTGAACTGAACTAAACTGAGTTTCAACTCTGAAATCTGGACTTTATTAAAACTTCTATGTTAAGCTGCTTTGACACAATCTACATTATAAAAGTGCTATATAAATAAACAGGAATTGAATTGAATTGAATTGAATGTTGAAATTTTAGCTTTCCCTATCATGTGCATCAATGGTTACAAGACCATTCTTCAATATATCTTCTTTTCTAATACCAACCTAAAATACTCAAATTGACAAGTAACGTGTAAGTAATTAAATTTTTTTTGAGTGAACTATTCTTTAACATCAAAACCTTCTTGGGAAAATTTAAATATGCTTAATTTGTATAACAAACTCTTTTTTTCCTCACTTTTAATGAAAGATCAAATTGTGATTCCTTAAAAGCAAACCATGTTTAACCTTTGGTTGGCGGCATCTGCAGGAACTCTCCAGCCCCTGATTTGGCTGAGCTCAGGATCAGACATCTCGATCTGCAGGGGAAGTCGAGGCGTCCACACGCTCAACTCCAGCTGAGCACTGAGGTAACTGTAAGTGAAGTTCACCATCATCTTCACCCTCCCACGCGTCTCCTTGCCATTGACGTACACATAATCACACCTTTCGGACACCTAAGAGGCAGGAATACAAATCAGACCGCAGATAAACAAAGCATTCAAGCAGCACTGTATTCAAAGCAGCACTAAATTAAAGAAAATTGCAGTGCTGGCCAAGGTATCAGCCTACTTTTCACTCCAATTTCCTGGCGACCATTTCAAATTTTGAAAGCGCAAAAAATGAGGCCTCTCCGTGTGCTAATCAGCGCAATATGTGAAAAACAGTCTGGCCTTTGTGTGTTTTCTTGCCGCTGTTGCTCGCTTTGATTCTGCACTTTAATGAGGAAGATGAGAGATTGGACTGGCTTTGACTGGTCTGTCCAACTATTTATTTCTGACTACAGTCGGTGGAGAAGTAGCCATCAATAACTAGATCCTATATTTTTCATGCTTTGGGGTTGAAAAGAGCTAACAGATGGGAGGGATGGAAAATAAAATAGTAGTCAAGTCTTTCCAAAGCAGCAAAGTAATTCATTTGTAGAATATATACAGTGCACTTAGCTAAAGCGTATGATACCTGGCAGAGAGAACATTTCTTGTCATCCAATCAACTTGAGGGCTTCTTTAAAAACAACAGATGTGAAAGTAGACCAATGGCAACAGTGCTTGATTTCTGAGTAGCTGCCCATCAGCTTGAAACCCAAGATGACAAGAGTGTGAGTTGTTTATGAGATTTCCCTAATGTTGTGCCATTTTCCCGATCATCATACTTGTTACATCTCAATATCAGACTGCTATTTGGTAGCCGCAATCAGTAAGCAGTAAGCTTTCATCAAGTTCTCATTTGCTCACTGCTTGCAGTATCTCAGGAATCAATTTCATCTTTTTTTGCATCAACAAAAAAGCAAAAAGACAAAGTCTCAAAGACTTATCACTTCCTAATGAAGTTTTAGACTACTTTCTATTTGCAACAGTGGGGATAGTCAATGGTGCATTTATTTGAGCTGTGATTAACTCCAGTTGCCACTATCCATTATACAGTGCACACTGAACCCTGTGAAATGAATAATAAGTTTTGTTGTGATAATGGCTGCAACAATATGTGTGAACTAAAAATCACATTAGCTTTCATGACAGGACTGGAAAAAGTTTAGTCTTAATAGGAAAACCAAAATACATAATTTACAATTATTATACTTTATTTTCAAATAAAGTAAATGACAAGGTTATATAGGAAGGTTACAGTTACCACTAAAATTGCATTCATTTATTTTTATAGTGGACCAACAGATTACATATACACTCACTGGCCACTTTATTAGGTACTGCTTGCTAATGCAAAGTTCTAATCAGCCAATCACATGGGAGAAGCTCAATGCATTCATGCATGTAGACATGATCAAAATGATCTGCTGCAGTTCAGACCGAGCATCAGAATGGGGAAGAAAGGTAATTTTGGTGACTAATTGTGGCATGGTTGTTGGTGCCAGACGTGATGGTCTGAGTATTTCAGAAACTGCTGATCTACCGGGATTTTCAAGCACAACCATCTCTAAGGTTTACAGAGAATGGCCAGAAAGAGAGAAAATATCCAGTGAGCGGCATTTCTGTGGGCGCATATGCCTTATTGATGCCAGAGGTCAGAGAAGAATGGCCAGACTAGTTTGAGCTGATAGAAAGGCAACAGTACTTCAAATAAACACTTGTTACAACCAAGGTATGCAGAAGAACATCTTTGGATGCACAAAACTTCCAACCTTGAGGCGCATGGGCAACAGTGGATTTGCTACAATTCGCACATGCTCACCAAAAATGGACAATAGAGTATTAAAAAAACATTGCCTGGTCTGAGTCTCGATTTCTGCTGTAACATTTGGATGGTAGGGCCATAATTTGGTGTCAACAACTTAAAAACATAGATCCATCTTGCCTTGTATCAATGGTTCAGGCTGGTGGTGGTATAATGGTATAGGGAATATTTTCTTGGCACTTTGGGTGCATTAGTACTAATTGAGCCTCATGTCAACACCCCATCCTATCATCTTCTATTTGGCTACTTGCAGAAGGATAACGCACCCTGTTATGAAGCACTAATTATCTCAAACTGGTTTTTTGAACATGACAATAAGTTCACTGTACTCATATGGGCTCCACAGTCACAAGATCTCAATCCAATAAAGTACCTTTGCGATATAGTGGAATGGGAGAATCGCATCAGGGATGTGCAGCTGACAAATCTGACAAATTCTGATTAATTTTGTGGTTGTTTTGAATTGTCATTTTAAAATATTATTTAATAATAGTACAGATTTTTAAATAAATAGTATAGTTTAATAATGTATATTAAACAGAAACAACATTACGCATTCTTAAGATGATATTTTACTGTACAGAAATGAAAATCTACCATGTAACTCCATTGTTTTTCATGTCAAGCAAATGATTATATTAAAATGAATATTTGAAAAAATAAATCATTTAATTACACAGTGAGTTTTTGGTGACCAATTTAAATCCTCAAATAGACTTACATGTTTAATTTGTAAACTTAATTCCTATCTGGCACTTGTGGATTTGGAGTTAAGTAAATACATAGATCAGCAATGAATTGGTCCAGTTAACAACACCTGTCATTGTTAAATATATTCACACTGTGTGACTAAAAGCAAACGATGCCTGATGTAGTAACAATGAACAACTGCAGTGAACTTAAATAGAACTATAATTCCCTGCAGCAATTATATCTTGTTAAACACCTGTTAAACTGTCTGGATCTGCCCATATAAATGACATAATGGTACAATCTGCAGTTTCACATCGACAATTGTATTCTTTACTTCCTCATTTATAAACTATAAATCTCCTACAACAGTCTGAGAGCCAGAGGTGCTTTGGCGGCCTGTGAAGGGATTTAGTTTGGGTATACAGATTGAGAGAGTGTGTTTAGTTCATGGGTCAATCTAACTTCACTGCATCATGCCCTTCTCATGAGTGTCTGTAAGCATCATAACAGCCTGGCAGGGCATTAATCAGGAACATTAAGACTGCCGATGAGAGGGACACTTACAGAGGACGTCAAGACCCCTGCGGAGACTGAGTTGGGTACTTAATGACCCATTCAGACGGGCACACAGAGACACTGGACTAAACTGCTTGACGCAAGCACTGTCCCTCTCTGCTCGTCCATCTCAGATCGAGGTGATTAGCAGAGTGCATCGTGAGCACCACTAGATGTTTCCTTCAAGGTGAATACAACTCTTGGGAGCAACTATCAAAAGCTACTAAACTGGAGTTAAACTAGACAAAACATGCTAGCCTTTCCAGTGGCAACAAAACTCCATAACACTTGTTCCATAAGACCTGCAATATTCCCTTTTTTAAATTTAAAAAAAGCTATTTTTTATTATATTGTTTTATATTTAGATTTTTTTTTTAGCTTTTCGAATTTACTGCCACTTCAGAAGAACTGAAAAAAAATTCAACCGGGGGTTCGTTCACGAAAACCACCGCTTGTCAACTAAGGTCTCAAGTTCCGTTGTTCCAAACATCATTCGTTGATTTGGCATTTCCCAAATCCATCGTTCCAACAAGGATTTGCAAACTGCGTCTCAACTTAAGTACATTTCCAACTACTCCTCTAAAGCTGTTGTTAGAAGCATAGTTCCTGATTGTGTTCTATTCCCAGTTATGCCCCCCTATGCCAGATTTATTTTGAACATTCCAACATTAAACTCGGAATGATAAAAAAATGTAATTAAAGTCATCTCACTTAAGTGTAATTTGTTTTCAAAGTATTTTTACAGTTCAGTTTTAGTGATCTTCATATTGACAATTGCGCTCCCTTCGCAGTGCACTTTGAAAACATTTATGCCATTTTGAACACAGGTGTGGAGAAAAGCCAATCATGACGAAAGATAAAGGTGGCCTATCATTCAAAAGCAGAATTTACGTTGCCTCTTCAAAGCTTGTGAAAATGCTTGTAATTTATATTAGGTTATTTATTTAAAAAACTGTATCTGTACTATATATGCATTGGCCTGTTTGTTAGAACATTTCTGCAGTGGTTTGAATGTATCAAAATGTAAAAGTAGACTTTTACAAAATTAAATAAACAATACCCTACTTACTAATAACAATAATATTAAATTAATAATAATAATATATATATATATTTTTTTTTCTTAATGAATAGCCAACTGTAAATTACAACTATTAGCCTAATGATTTATATGACTTCTATATTAGAATAGAGTGTTAGCGAAGTGGTTTTTATGTTTTAGAATAGAATATGGCATGTGCTCCATAACATTGGAAACATAGGCCCTATATGTGCCATCAACATATATTTTAATTAATATGGAAAATGAGTGCATGTTTTTATCAAAACTAATACTGGATTGTTGGCCACACTTTATTTTGATGGTTTGTTTGTTGAATTTAAGTTATATTGCATCTACAGTACATGCCAACTAATTCTTATTAGATTAGAAATAGATTGTTAGTCAGTGTTAGTGTTAGTGTAAGTTGACATGTACTTGCAAATATCAGAGATGCACTTGCAAAGTTTCTTAGTCAATTCTGACTTCTAGTCAGTTAAATGTCTGTTTAACAGCAGTATCAACAGATATTAAGCAGACAGTCTGCTAACACTCAAATGGACCATCAAAATAAAGTGTTACTAGATTTTTTTTAAACGTGTGTGCGTGTAAAACAATATAATTTGCACAAAAAAGTATGGGGTTTATCTCTAAAGAAGTTGTTACTCCACCCAGTTTAGAGCATCATTATGGAGGTTTTACGTTATAACTAATGTGGTTCAAACCATGGATCTGTGACAAAACAGCTATACGGTTTAGAGAAAGACTCATCACTATATTGTTATTTTCCGGAACGATGCATCGTACTATGACAGTTCAGCCACGAGTTACATCGTTGTTTGGGAAACACAGCCCAGTTTTGTTCATGGGTATTTTTCGCCCCTTATCCTTAATTTGTCTTTAATTTGACATTTTTTTATGTAATTTTTATATCAATCTCTGTTTGTTTTCTGCTCTGGGATAGTGTAAAAAGATGAG